AGAGAGGAGGAGAGACCGAGGAGAGACCGAGAGGAGAGAGGAGGAGAGAACGAGGAGAGACCGAGAGGAGAGAGGAGGACAGGAGAGAGGAGAGACCGAGAGGAGAGAGGAGGACACACTCACGGGAAGAATTCGGCTCCCATGCAGACTGTTAATGGCAGACTGGGCCTCTGAGTGAGTCTGGAACTTCACGAACGCACAACCTGTGAAAACAAGACAAACATCAAATTGTGTGTGGCAGATTAAGTTTGTGTTTAACACAGTCTCCCGGCATGAAAATGTCCTCACCTTCAGTCCCATCCAAGATGCAGATGAGTTTGTTTCTTCATCAGATTTGGAGAAATATAGCATTGCAAACACGCAGTCTTTGTCTTCTCAAGACATTAACTGGTGGACTGGAGTGCTGTGGATTACTTGTGGATTATTGTGATGCTTTTATCAGCTGTTTGGACTCTCATTCTGACGGCACCCATTCACTGCAGAGGATCCACTGCTGAGAAAGTGATGCAATGCTACATTTCTCCAAAACTCATCTACATGTTGGATGGTCTGAGGGTGAGGACATTTTCATTTCTGGGTGAACTATTCCTTTAACAGACCTTTGCTGGTGCCGTCAAGTCCTTTCAGTACCGTACACTCATCAATGCTCCCAAAAGGCTCAAACATCTTCCTCACGTCCTCATCAGACTGCTGCTTTCCCAACATCCCCACAAACAGCTTTCTGTCCTCTAAAAAGAGTGAAAATGGGAGAAATGGTCATGATCGGTTATTCAGTATCATGACTTTATTTCAATTCTAGCTTTTTTGTGAAGTGTGTCAGTATAAGTTGTAGTACCATCAGTCTCCAGGAGAGGGAGTTATAAGCTGGCTGTAATATGAACTCTGCGTGTGTGTTAGTTTGATTATACAGTACTTGTAAGGCCCAAATGTCCTCACTAATACAACATTGTTGCAACATGCCTCTGATGTCATCACATCTCTATTCCTGGTATTTATCTACAGCACTAATGCAACTCTTCCACACTGCTCTCACTGTACGGCAGGCCGTATTAACATCTATTGCTTAAACTGTATTGGTATAAAACACTGAAACAGAAATCTCATCTCTTGTCTTTTGCTGCATTACTATTTAACATTGATTGCATACTATAGAGAAAAGCTACTAGAAATATTATGAGTGCCTACTAAATTTGGAATGGGTTAACCTTTGTTAAATTAAAAGCACTTGTATTTATATTTTATAGTAAAAGAAATGCATGTTTATTGTTGAAAACCCAGTGGTCACTGTTATATTACATTGTATTATTTAAAAAAAAAGGTGCCAGTAACATACAGATGCTAAAATTAACCATTTAAAATGAACTATACTGTTTTTTTTAGTCTAGTTAGTTTTCATTTAAATGTTGAAATGTCTTGCTATAGCTCTCTGGGAGGAGCTCTCTCTCTCACTGTCTCTCTCTGTCTAACACAGAGAAAAGCGGAAGTAAAGACAGCTTGTTGTTATGCGCCGAAATGGCGTCACAATAGAGTTGTAACTTTTTTTATGGTCATTTTGAGGGGAAAAAACGACTCTATTCAGCACTTGGAACTTTCAATTGTTGCTGCTGAGTGCTTTTGCAGTGAGTTGAACTAAATATTTGGTCTCGCATTAGAGAGAGTCAGGGTTGTTTTCACCTGTCAGTGCGTCAGAGCAGAATTTTTCATTACAGTCAGAAGACTGTAATAAATCTGCAGTTAATCTTAACGACCAGCCCACAAGTGTGATATGAATCATAGTATTGAGTGTATTTGAAGCTGGGCACATGACGTAATAGTATTTGCTGATGTGTGTTTCAGTGCATCATAATGAAGGCTATTCGGAATTTGATTTTGGCTTCAACATTTATGGTTGTACTTTATGAAGGTAGGAAACTTCCTTTTTGTCTTTCCCTTTTTTAGTTAGGTTGATTGTTGTGTTTTTATACAGTATAATTACCCAGAATCACAGCCATACTGATGTTCAGTACCAAGGCACTATACTGTATATTTCATATGCATTTGGTTGAGTAATAATTTTCTTGCAATTCAACTGCATGCATATGTATAGCTGCATATCTGTTCACTACACAGTATGTTTGCAATAAATTCCCAGTAACACTTTAGAGTGTCCTTGTTATACATGTACTTACTATAGTAATAACAGCAAAATTACAAACAACTAACCCTAAATCAAACCTTAAAGCTATAGTTAATACACTCTTACAAATAAAGGATCCAAAGGGATGTTTATCGCAGCAATGCTACAGAAGAGCCATTTTTGGTTCCTCGAAGAACATTTCAGTGATCAGTTCTTAAAAGAAACAGTTTATTCTTAGTGTGAAGAACATTTTAATTATCTAAAGAACCTTTTTCCACTATAAAGAACCTTTTGTGCGATGGAAAGGTTCCACGGATGTTAAAGCTTCCACAGATGCCAATAAGGACCCTTTATTTTTAAGAGTGTATGGTTAATATTACTCAGTGCTTGTTTGTGTAATTGCACTGTAACAATGACACCTTTAAAAGAGTTTAACCAAAACTCCCTTCATTAGAGTGTCTATCTCTTCTGTGATTCTGTTTCAGGAGCGTTCTGCCACAGTATTCGGACTGATTTTGTGTTACTAAACCAACCGTACACATTCCCCGGTAACGCCAGCGGCTGTCATCACGCTGAATGGAGAAAGAGACCCCCCATAGACACCACTATCGCCACATACAAAAACCATGCGTGCACGACTGACAGAATTTTTGAGGAAGAATTCACATGTAAAGACAACCACCTGCTTCTCAAATCATCAAAATACACCGACCAGGGGCCCTATGAGTTCATCTGTAACGGGGTTCAAACTTTAATTCATCTGGATGTTTTATGTAAGTCTTTACTATATCTGATTCATACACTACCAGTCAAAAGTTTGGAATAATTGAGATTTTTTTTAAATGTTTTTGTTTGTGGAAGCCATGATTTTTTTTTTTCAGGATTCTTTAATGAACAGAAAGTTTAAAAACAACATTTATTTGGAATAGAAATCATTTATAAATGTCTTTACCGAAGCTTTGATCAATTTAATGCATTCTTGCATTACTTCAGTTTTTAATGATACGACGGTTTCCACAGAAATATTGGGCAGCACAACTGTTTTCAACATGGATAATAATCAGAAATGTTTCTTGAGCAGCAAATCAGCATATTAGAATGATTTCTGAAGATCATGTGACACTGAAGACTGGAGTAATGATGCTGGAAATACAGCTTTGATAATTACAGTTTATCAGATATTTACATAGAAAACAGATGTTTTAAATTGCAATAATATTTTGCAGTATTACTGTTTTTACTGTATTTTTCATTAAATAAATGACACTTAAAAAAAAAAAAAAAAAATCTTAACCTTTTGACTGGTCGTGTATAAGAGAGCTACTTCAGTAGATCATCAGCACATGATCATGATTTAAATCATGTTCCCTAAATAGATGCTCTAACTGAGAGCGCAGAAGAAACAAACAACATCACCCTGAACTGTTATGCACACAATGCCAAAGATGTGAAGTGGCTGCATAACAACGAAAGTGTTTTGCACTACAAGATAAACGGATCCGAGAATCCTGGCAAAGGCTACGAGGGAAGAGTTTTTTTGCTGGAGAAGAATTGCTTCAAAACCGGCGATCTCTCTTTGACCGTCACCCGTGTTCGCAAGGCAGATGCTGGAATATACCGTTGCTTTGTGGATGATGAAACGGTTAAAGGAAACCCACATGCCTATGTGCTGCATGTGAACGGTAAGACATGGGAAACTTGATTGCATTGTATTACATTTCATTTTACCAGTCAATGTTGGCATAACAACATCCGGTGCATTTCACGCTGAAAAATGCAGTCAGAGTCTATAAGCCTGATTCTGTTGTTTAATTCACACAGAGAAAAACTCCGGTCCAGGAGACCAGACACACTCCAGCTGCAACGAAGCAATTCTGATCGCGCTCACTGTAGTTTTTGGGCTCATCTCAGTGATCAGTGTGACATATCTGATCACCATAGAACTACGCAATCATCAATCCAAGTCCACTACAGTCACTCAGAGTAGTGAGGGTGACACCACTGAAACCGAGCGTATGCTGATGTCTGCTATTAGCACAACTTCACCCATCAATGAAAGTCAGTGGGTGGTTACTTATCCTGTTCAGGAGAGCGATTTCACGGGAAATAAGCCTTCCAACACCAGGCCTATTTTGTAATCTGGTGAAATGAGGCCTGTGAAGATACAGTCAGCTAGGCCTGTTTCACACCGCAAGCAACAGAGCTTTACAGCATTTCTGCTGCATAACCAACTGCAATCAAATATTGATTTAGTGGGGCCAACTTTGATCGTTGTAGAATTGAATTTACTTGAGAAGCAGGACCACATTTACATGCAAACTGTAATGAATGTAAACGATCAAGTTTAAACATTACTCACTCCAGCATTAAATATTTCTTTACTGTGAAAGTGTTTGTGTGTGTGTGAGCATGCGTCTGTACAGTATGTGCGTGTGTGTGGAAGAAAGAATGTGTACATGTTATTTAGCAGCAAAATTGTTTGTTATATGTCTTTGCAGTCAGTGTTGTTGTAGGCTTTGATTAATTTGCTGTTGCAGGGACTTAATAAATAACTTAAATAATATGATATGAAGCTGTAATGAGAGTCCTGGAACTACTTCATAGCTGGGCGTTTACTGGAAAATAATAATTGCACACCTTACAATGTTCGTCAACCAATTAGAATCAAACATTTAACAACCCTGTGATAAAATAGGTTTTTATTTTCATATACCCTAATATGGGCAATGAAATGATTATGGTACATAGTTGCTGCTTACAACTTTTTGGCATTTTGGTAATCTAGTCCATTTTATAGAAAAAGAAACTGAATCTTTGGTGAGAAAGAAGAGAGACTTTCAGAGCAAATATATATATATATATATATATATATATATATATATTCTCAGCATTAGTCTTTTTAATGCATTAGCCTTTTTAATGTTAATTTATTGAATGTTTTGTAGGAAGACTGTCTGATCAAAACCTCATGCATGAACAGACTTCATATACAGCTCCTGTTTAGCACTTTTCTGACTCCGAACACTTTACTGTGGCCTTTGCTATTTTATATATTTTTCTGTTCTTTTTACGATATGCATTTCTTATTTTTATTTTCTATTTAATGTGTACAGCTTTATATTTGTGGAGAGTGTTACTTGTAGTAGTTGAAATGTCTCATTAAAACTTTTTGCAGTAGTGTTAGTATAGTGGTTTCTAATGCTGACTGAACAATAAGGTTGTATCAGCAAACCAATGGAAGTATTCAGATTAATCAAATGTGCAGGTGCCAGTCAATAAAATACATTTTATCTTGAACAAATGGTGTTGTTTTGAATTTACACACATTTGCACAAACTGTTTTCAGCATAAATGATGATTTGCTGCTCAAGAAACATTTCTCATTATTAGACTTGATTAGAATGATTTCTGAAGATCATGTGACACTGAAGACTGGAGTAATGATGCTGAAAATACAGCTGCGCATCACAGAAATAAATTACAGTTTAACAGATATTCACATAGAAAATGGTTACTTAAAATGTTAACATTTCACAATATTACTCTATAAATATAACTTTATTTATGACCAACTGAATGCAGCCTTGATGAGCAGAAGATCTCACCAAGTCATGAGAAATTTTTATAATAAGCCAAAAAAAGACATAAAGACATCCGTATAACAGGTGATTTACCTCCTCTCCCCTCACTGTTTGCAGGCTTCACTTGAATGGGCCGATTCATCTAAAAAATAAAAATGAATACAAATAATTCAAATTACACAGTATACAGACTCTATTCATGCATCATACAAGACAATTTTACCAATGGATTAAGACTTCCCATACACAGTACATAACCATAGCCTCCTGTTTTTAACATAACCTTGATGACTGCTACACCTATTTTTTTTTTCCATGCGTTTATCATTTTGCTATCACTGTTTCATATAAAACAGCACATAGCAATCTGTGGTCGCTCGCTTTGCATTAATGCTTACTGCTGATTTCCATATGCTCTTCAGCATTTATATCCTGTGACCTTTTGAACCTGCTGCCCTGCACTTAAACTAATGTGCACGGGATTGTAGAGATCAGCTTTAGAATGATGGCCATCTGATCTGGATTACAGAGATACAGGATTACACTGAACAGCATGTGTGTGTGTGTGTGTGTGTGTGTGTGTGTGTGTGTGAGTTTAAATCCCCCAGTCAGAGCTTCTCTCTTAAAAGAACACATCTTCTGTCCTGTGTTTACTAGACTTCTGCAACCTGGCAACCATCCGCACATTCTGATTATCTGAAAACACTGACAAACATGTGAGTTTAGCGATCTCCGCTGAGAGATTCGGCTCACACCTCTGTGCCACAATACAACATCTTTTTGTGTTGTTTGTCAGTGCTGTAACTGATTACATGTACTCTGGATTACGTAATCAGATTCCAAAAATTAAGTATTTGTAATTAGATTATATTTAATTTTAAAATGCTAATACTCATACTGTTACTGTAAATTATTCATAATGTATTGATTTTCCCTAATTCATTCTTCTCTCTCTCTTAAATGTTCATTCAGAATATACATATACATTCAGAAAGTCTTCTAGTTTTAGGGATCTGCACACTCTGTCACTAGTCAGGTAATTACACAGAAAATGGAAAGGCCACACAATTAGTTCTTCTGCAGTTCTTCGAGGAACCCCAGTTTGGGAAACCCTGGTGTTATGTAATGTGTAATGCACTTCATGATGTTGACAACAAAGAATGGAAAATATTTTTATACAAGTTAGGTCAAAAGTAATCGAAAAGAGGTCTGAATGCATTACCTTATATGTGTAATCCAACAGATTACATTACTAACTACAATTACCGTTATGTAACTTGTAATCAATAACGGACTAGTTTGTAAGTGAACTACCCAGCACTGGTTGTTGCAATAGAAAGACATGAATATAATTTGGAATTATTGGACTTAATATTGGGCATGTCGCTGTTTTAGCTTTTGAGAGAAGCTTTTGAGTTTTACCAGCTTTCATAACGTAGAGAATGTGAAATTTTAAAATTCTGATAATATAATGCATCAGGACACTAGATGAGGTGAAATAAAGCATGCGTATGTGTTGAAATTCTCTAGATTTGTGCTTATAGGTGAAAGTGCAATAACAATATATAAGTCAGTTGTAATTCCTCAATCATGATCAGCAAGCACAATTAAAATCTTGAGCAGAATAACCGTGATAATTAGTTTAACCATTGTGCAGCATGACAAAAAATGTGAAAAAACGTTTTTTAAATTCTGACAGATGTTTAGTCGACTAAAACTTGATTAATCAAATAACAGGCTCAGCTGGCTCAAAATAAAACCACCAAGACTGATTTCACTAGGAATGGGAGAAAAAATAACAGTAAAACATAAAGACTGTAATATATAATGAAAAGATAGAGAGAGTTCTTGACATAAGATTTTAAGAAAATACAGAGAAAGATGAAGACTAATACAGAGCATTCTTTAAGTGTATTTAAAATCAACTAGAGTGATCAAATTAACCGCTGTTTTATCTGTTGACAGTGTGTGCATAAATCAGACATACACAATAAACATTATTTGGTAACACTTTTTTTTTTTACGGTGCCATTGTTACACATGAATTAGTACTGATTTACACATTAACCTACTAAAATTTGCTTGAAGTACACTGATAACCCACCACAATAACACAGGTGTAAAATACAAAATGTAACATAAAAGACTCCAACATACATGATCGCAACAAAAATAAGAAAAATTACAATTTAATAAAATACACTCATTAAATATGATGGGAACCTTTTTTTTCCCCTTAAACTGTGGCTTGCATTTTTACCTCAACACATATTTAATATTTTATTTTATTTTTACTGCACATAGTCTTATGAATATATAATATATAATGTCAGCATATACAGTATATATACAGTATATATAACCTAATATAATTTTTGCAATAGGCCTATAGCCTGCTATAGATGGTAAGGTAACCTACAGTTAACAGGTTTCAATAGTAGCATTCCACATGCTTTTCTGCTGAAATTACAAAGCTTTTTATCAGTGTAGGAGTGAAAGCGAGAGCGAGGGAGAGAAGAGACATGCTCTAGTTTCTAGAGTCACGAAGCTCATTTGTAAAATGTCACGAGCGCAGCGATGTGCTTAATCATGGAGAGAGATAGAGATACTGAGAATACAGGAGGACTGGACAAACTGCAGACAGACAACACAGTGAAGACATGAATGAGAAATGAGTGAGAGAGTGAGAGAAAAGCACACCATGAGGAGTGAGAAAGAGAAATATAAGGAGAGTTGAGGGCCTCGAGTGAGAAATAATGATCTACCACATCAACAAACAAGACAAAAAAAAAAAAAAAAAAGAGTAAAAACCCCCAAGAAATTTCTTAGTTGTCAGTCCAAAATGTCGCTTGCACCACCATTATATTTCCTGGGAACATTTACTATTCACTATTTCTGTAACACAGTGACACTCCGCATCGCCATGGTAACACAGGCAACAGCCTCCTCCGTTGTCATGGCAGCATGCTGACCACATCATCATGCTGACAGTAGGTAAACAAGGATGCTTGTTGCCAGGGGCAACAGTTCAAATCAGTGGTTAAATAAAGGATAAAGAAGAGAGAGGGACAGCAGAGAGAAGAACAAATAGAAGAGGAAGAAAATGATGAGAGCAGAAAAGAAAAGAGCAGAAAAAAGATGGATTGGTGGAGGGTAATTAATAAATACATACATGCATACAATGATGTACTGAAAAAAGCTATCAAAACACACTCTCTTCTAGGTGATATATAAAATGATTATTTAATAAAGCATATCTACAAGTACACGCAGCAGAATCCTCAGGCACCTCATCATAATCCTGCTAGATGAGGGTTTGATTTAAACACATCTGTAGGGTTTATATTAAGTCTCTCTCACACATAAATAGATTTTCATACACTCGCTCACAAACACACACACACACACACACACACACACACACACTCTCTCTCACACACACACACACACACACAC